GCAGATTGCCTCTCAATTCGATCCGGCAGACCAAGAGGATTCAGAAGAGGAGGATATTCAACCTAAGATCTCAGGGGATACAGCTCTTCAGGCCCTTGAACATCTAAGGCTATATGAGTTGCAGCAGGTAGATGGACAGCCAGAGATTGTGAGCATTCTTGACAAGCAAGAGACTGTAATCAAAAGAAGGAAGGCTGAGATGCGAAAGCAGAGCGATATCACGTGTTTCTTTAGTTAGACTGGATAGTCCTATAACCTGCTTAGCAACATAGAATGAACTCAGGAATAAGTTATGTTCTTATCCAGGTTTGACTGTAGTGCAGTAGGGCCGGTAGACGTATGCGACTATCTCTGCATCTAGCGCCAATTTGACAATGCACTTCTTCTGCAGGTAAGCATTGAAGCCAGTCCTGTCAACATAGCAGCCGGTAATAAGCGAGTCAAACTTCCAGCGAGGCGGTGTGTTCCTAGTCATGCTCTCTGAGATTGCAGCCAGGCTCCCCGTCAGCCACGTGCCGGAAGCGCTCAGGCTTCCAGTCCTGTCAAATGTCGGGTGTCAAGGCGCTCATCAGGAGCAAGCCATCCGGAGACAATGCTTCACAGCCTGTTGATACCCAGTATGGTCCAGGCCCGTCGTAGGATGTATCCTCGTGGCCATCACGCACCGCCGCCCAGCTTCGTCTTTCCGTATGCGCCACCCATCTTCTTCCTCTCCTCCAAAGCCCTTCTGTACGGTGGTGCGGTCGGCGGCTGCACAGGATCCAAGCTGACATGTCCTTCTGGGAGTTTGTGGCTTGCATCGGCGTCGAAAGCGCTCAGGTCTCCGCAGGCCAGGAATGGAGCAACCCATCGGTTTGGATCTGTTTGTGGAAGGGTGAGTTCAGTAATACCGTCGTCTCGCACCACGCGAGTAGGTTGGGTGTTTTGCGATGTCGCAGTCGGTCGTATCTGCTGGAGAGGATTGTCGAGACTCGCTTTGAATTCTTCAGGAGGTCTGAAGTCCGTACAGACGATGAATGCCTCAACACTGCTTGCTCTCGAGCTTCTCGGCTTCGCGACCTCGACTCGTGCAAAGACACATTTCAGCTGAGCATACAAGATGTCGACATCCTTGCCGCGGAAGATCTTGGCCACGAACCTCCCGCCAGGCTTCAGCACGCAGAGAGCGAGATTGAGCGCCGCCCAGAGAAGTTGCGACTGGACGTAGATGTCGAGGTCGTGAAGTCCAGTCACGTCTGGCGCACCGTCTGAGATGACGAGATCCACGGGATGGGAAGCCTCAATGGATGAATTCTCGGCAGAGTACGATGGGTCCAAAGCGCGGAGGAGGAGAGGAATGGTCGAAGGGTGAGTGATGTCTGCTTTCAAACAAGTGATGCCTTCGAGTGGACTCATGGGCTGGAGATCAATGGCGACAATCTTGACGTCTTTCCTTGGCTGGGCTCGTGGTGGTTGTTGCTCGGATGATTTTTGCGGTTGGGTCTTGAGCAGCTCGGCGTATCGCTTGTCTTCCCATGTCGCTCGCCCGATTCTTTCGCCTTTAATCAGGATGCGTGACAGGACTTGTGACCAGCTGCCTGGCGCTGCGCAGAGATCGACGACCCTCGTGACGCCTTCGAAGAGGTTGAACTCTTCGTCGAGTTGGAGTAACTTGAAGGCGGAACGGGCACGCCAGCCTTGTTCCTTGGCGAGGCGATAGTATGCATCTCGTTTGTCTTTTGATGATTTGCCCATGTTTGGGTTTGGTGGTGGTGGTGTTGACTTTGTGACTTGTTGATGGGCAGGATCTGCTGCAAGCTTGAGGTCGAAGCCGATGCCAAGACTTTGATGGGCTTGAGTTCGAACATTCACATGAAAAGAGGAAGAGTTGAAGGACTTGGCAGTGAAGACTCTTCGGAATTGATTTATTGTTTGATTGCTGCGGTATGAGCTCACTTAGTGTACAGTATTGGCCATCCGCTCCGACTCTATGGACCTTTGGCACCCTCCTCCTGGTGTCTCAGTCCGCCACACTTCGTCCCTCCCCAGAGTCAACTCCAGACACCTCGCTGCCTCTATGATCATGCTCCTCATACCTCATCTATGCGTACATATCATCATACTCCGGCTCGTCGTCCTCCACCTTGGTCGGCGGCTCCTTCTTCTTCACCAGCTTCTGCCGATCGAGAGGACACGTCGGGTTGAGTTTCAGCCACGGCTGGATGCACTCCAGATCGAAGATGTGATCCTTGTGGCAGGGCAGCCGTACGACGAGAGGGTGCGAGTCTGCAAAAGATGTCCAGGTCAGCCCACGCATCCAACGTCCTCACCACGTCCATGCTCACCATCCAGAAAGGGATTCGCGCAGATGGGACAGCTCATGTCTGGCTTCAGCGACTTCTTGGGTATCCGCTCCAACTGCTCGATGAACTCGTCCGACACGCCTTCGACTTCCGAGGGCGGGTGTTCCGCACTGTCCATCAAGCTGTCCACCAGTCTCTGCAGCAGCTCTTCATTGCCCCCGCTTCCACTTCCAGCTCCTTCACCACCGCGCATCATCTCAAAGGCATTCGCCAGTGTTCGCTGTATCACCCAATCATCAGTCCTGATCGTCGTCTTCAAGGTGGTGGGTTCTGGTTGCGTACGTATGCCGCGGCGATGTCTTGCGGGAGGGGGAGGGAGTGCGCATTTTGCGGTTGCCGTGAGCCGGAAGTGTCGACGAGATCCAGGGTGCTGAAGAAGGTGCCCAGGTCGGGTCGTCGTCGGGGTTGCTCTTGCTGCTGCTGCTCCTGGGGGATGTTGTGCTCGACTGTGTCGCACCTTGATGGTCAGCCGATGAATTGGACTTGACGGGTTTGGTGGTAGTGACCTTCGTAGCCGGACATGATTGGGATGTGTTGCTGTACAGCTGGTGAGGGATTGGTGAGAGACTACATTTTGTTTCTGAAGCACAGGAGCAGCGAGTGAAGGGCGGCTTGGGCAGGCAGCTCACGCCGCGCACACGACCGGCAGCGGAACCAGCTCCGTCCACGTTCCAGCAACCTTCATGAGACACCTTCACGTGCAAAATGTATCTTTATACGTGACATCTACCACGACGGTCTTGGCGAATCTTGAAACAGCTCGAACCTCCCTTTCCCCTCGTCGTCAACCCACGCATGGAACATGCCCCCGCAGTTGAAGTCGAACACGATCTTGCCTTCCCCATCCACCAGCTCGATCCCGATGATCCCACCTTCGCCTTCGCCAGTCTTCTTCCAACGGTCTCCCGCCGAATGCTGCAGCTGACCATGAGGGCCAGCGACGGCTTGAACTGCTCTTTGAAGGTAGACTCGGGACCAAGAGGAAGTACCTGGCAGAGATGAGTATCGGGCAATCGCAGCGGCTGTTCGCACGGCATTGACTCGCAGGAAGCTGTCGCCGTTGCCCGTACCAGACATGGCCACGGCCCTAACACTCGAAAGTGGTTGGCTTGAAGATGGGACAAGTGCGTAGCGAGGCAGAGCAGGCAGACAGTCCTGGAATGCGGAAGTAATGTTGGTCAAAGATCCAAAGAGCGATGGCTCGCCCGTGACATTGATATCTTCGTGAAACTCCTCCGCCCAGAAACCCGCTCCGAGTGTAGGCGTGTCTCCTATTCTGCCTGACAGCTTGTTCGTGAGTCCGCCGGTTGAAGTGGCCGCACAGAGTACGCCAGAGCTGTCGAGGACCACAGCCCCAACGGTGCCTTGAGGCAGATATTCCTTGCCATCCCAATGTATATCTCCAACACTCATCTCTTCCTGATCCATCCAATCTTGCTCCTGCTTCCCATCGAACACTTCCTCCACATTCTCATCAGCCTCCCTCCTCTTCTTCTCATACGTCTCGTCTCCATGCTCCAATCCCAGCCCTCGCCGATGCTCATCCCACCTCTTCCTCGTCCAAAAGTAGCTCGGCTTGACCCTCTCCAGACCCCACTGCTCTGCCAGCTTATCAATCGTCTCGCCCTCCAACTGACTATGGCCTTGAGCTCCCCCACCATTCTCCGTCTCCCCTCTCAGCAACATCTCCCTGGCTAACTTGATCGGGCTTTTCGTCCTTCGCACCTTCATCACGCCTACGCCTCTTTTCCGGTAGCCGCGAGACACCATGACTGAAGCTTCGAGTTCGTGGGTCCCGGCAGTCGTATAGACGGCGCCATGGCCGGCGTTGAAGAGCGGATCGAGCTCGAGGAGGGAGACGGCGTAGGTCGCGATGTCTAGAGCAGTGGCGCTGGGAGAGGAGAGCTTCTTGTTCGCGCGGTCGAGGATGTTGAGGAGGCTGGAGCGGTACGCTTCGTAGGAGGCAGCGGGCATATTCTCGCGGGTGATGTTGCCGGCGCCGCCATGGATGATGATTCGCGGCGTTATTGGCCTAGGCTTGAAGGAGTACTCCATGGTTGGGAAAGAGGATATCTGGATAGAAATGGGGTGAAGGAAAGAACAGGCTGGGGACTTAGCTCTTTCTGTGAGCTACAACAGGGGTGATCTCCGACTTTTGGTATGTGTCAATCGAGGCTGTAACTGAATGAATGGCGCTGAAGAGGAAGATAGGCGTTGATAGCCCAGGTTGAATCGGAGAGTGGTCTGTGCTGGACTTTGTTTTGACCTCGTCTCGAGCTGGCCTTTGCCCTTCCTCTGCCTCTCCACCACCATTGGATGGCAACAATATGACCACGATGACTGAACAGCCCTACTGTCTTCACATCATCGAGGAAGTCATCAGCCATAAACTCCCCTTCTGCCGAATGCGACTGGGCCAGTGGATGTGACTCTCCAATGGAAGACGATACCATTTCAAGGTGGCTCACAATCGATATGTCTGATATGAACCCTGTTTCCACGCAAACAATCATAAGAGGCAGTGTTCGAGAATGCTAGGACAAACAAACCCGGCTGACCCATCCCGAATGCCCCAAAGAGGTCAATGATGCGGAATATGTTCCTCGATCAGCCTCCATACCAAGCTCTTCAGCTGGTAGGAGGTAGGATGTGCGGGGTGTCTGCACCACTTGAATAGAAAGCCGTGGCTATATGAGTTCAGTAACCATCTCTCCGCACGTCGACCCACGTCATCTTGCTTCAAATCAGACCGTTCTGCGAAGACCAGAAAAGTGTCTCTTGACCCCTTTCCATCCTTATTCCCCAAGAAATCATACCACAACTTACATCATGACAGATATTCAGACCAATCTGTTCATCAACGGCCAGGTCAGATGCTTCAAGACATCTCCATCCAATAGTAAATAGCTGATATGTGGTAGTACGTGCCATCATCCAGCGGCGAAACCCTCTCCATCTACAGCCCCAACGACGACTCGCTCGTCAGCGACAAGGTCCAAGTGGCCGGCGAGAAGGACGTCGACAATGCCGTAGCCGCAGCAAAGAAAGCGTTCCCAGCATGGCGAGATACAGCAGGCCACAAGCGGGCGGCCATCATGCTCAAGTTCGCAGACCTGCTCGAAGCCAACATCGATAAGCTGGCCAAGCTGGAGTCCGCCGCTATGGGCCAACCTGTCAGCGTCGCCAAGAAGATGATCTTGGGTCCTGTCGCTTTGTGGAGGTACTATGCTGGCTATTCGGGCAAAGTCGCTGGCGAGTCTTTCCCACCTGATGAGGATGGGACGTACAAGATCGTTCAGTATGAGCCGATTGGCGTGTGTGCTGGCATCTGTGCCTGGAATGTGAGTGTCGAACTGACCTTTTCGTGTACCTTTCCTAATTACATCGCGTAGGGAACACATGTGCTGGCCGCATGGAAGATGGCCCCCGCGATGGCTACCGGCAACACTTTCGTTCTGAAGTCGTCTGAGAAGTCTCCTCTGGCAGCGTGCGCCTACGGGGATCTTCTCAACCAGGCGGGATTTCCTCCCGGCGTCATCAACGTACTCACAGGAGCTGGCCCGGTTGGTTCCATGCTTGCCCACCACATGGACATTGGCAAGATTGCTTTTACGGGATCCGCAGCAGCAGGGCGAGCAGTCATGGCTGCGGCCGCCAAATCAAACCTCAAGCATGTCTCTCTCGAGCTCGGCGGCAAATCTCCAGCTTTGATCTTTGACGACGCCGACCTCGACAATGCCGTGGAACACTCCTCTACATCTTTCCTCCGCAACTCTGGCCAGATCTGCTTCGCCGCCTCTCGCGTTCTTGTCCAGGAAAGCATCGCTCCCAAATTCATCGAAAAGATCAAAGACGCCTTCTCCAACGCTGAGAAGCAAATGGGCGATCCATCTCTAGAAGATACCGCCTTCGGTCCTCTCGCTGACAAGAAGCAATTCGAACGAGTCATGTCCTTCCTTACCGGCGCTCGAGAAGAAGGCGTGCAAGTTCTCGTCGGTGGCGAGCGCCTGGGTGACAAAGGCACATTCGTCAAGCCCACTGTCTTCCTCAACCCAGACATCAACTCGAAGGTCTACAAAGACGAGATCTTTGGCCCCGCCATCTCGGTCAGGACGTTCAAGGATGAAGACGAGGCGATCGAACTGGCCAATGCGACCACGTATGGGTTGGGCAGTACAGTCTACACGAACGACATTGCGAGAGCGCTGAGAGTAGCTGGGAAAATTGAGGCGGGCACTGTGGGGATCAATAGTGCGTTTAACACTAGTCCGCAAACGCCTTTTGGAGGGTTCAAGCAGAGTGGGTATGGTCGAGAGAGTGGACCTGAGGTGAGTAATGATGCAAGCCTTATGATATGCCCGAGATACTGACTTTCTGCAGGGTCTCAAGGAGTACGTCCAGCCGAAGACGATTCACATCAACATGAATGTAGGCAAGAAGTAGAGCTTCGATATCAAGGACACCAGTCCGATCTTCTTCTCCCGTTATCCACCATCTCGTTGATATTGCTTCCGATTTGGAGTATTGGTCATTGATCTCCATGCAGCTTACATCGTGGACCAGTCGAAGGAATTCAGAATGCCCTTGAGCAACAAAAAGCTTTGCAGAACACACACACGTGCTAATGAGAGAAATCAAAGCATACTCTTTCCCAGCCCGCTCGGTAGCTCGATCGTGTCTTCCCATAGCACTTCTCAACTTCGACAGCGCTGGTGGAATGGAAGACGCATATGATTTCACGCAAACTGCCGAATGGCTCGCCGGCGTCTTGCTCTCCTTTCCTATTTCCCGCTTCGGAGCCCGAGTCAATGCATTGGCTCACGATGCATAGTCGAATCAACCGAGTCGCCCCAAAGAAGTGCTATTCGCCATGGCGATTAATGACTGCGGCAGTGTCGGGTGCGGTGGAGATGCCTGGAGAACGGGAACAATAACGCTTTGGGCTCCCGCCGAGGGGATCGTTGCAAGGGAGTCTTGTGAGAACAGCATTCGAGAGCATATGGGTAAAAGTGAGAATGTTATCAAGAAGGATAGCAACCACGACCTTCTCAACCGATCTGGATTGAGTCGCCACTCTGCGGACTTACTTTCATGCAGTATACTCTCTTCGAGCTTTGAACAAATGTCCATCTCACTCCATCCTCCTACTCTCCACAAATCCCATAACATCAAAGAAGCTCCTCCGATACCTCCTCTCCTGCGTCGTAAAGTTCACATACTGCAGCCCAAACCCCTGAGCGAAACTCCCAAACTCCCAATCATCCGCCCAGTTCCACACCAAAGCTCCCATGACATCCACCCCATCCTCCCAGATCGCTTTGAGCACCTCATTGAGGTAGCTGAGGAGGTATTCGGAAGCCGGCTGGTTGAAGAGGTTATCTTGCAGACGTCCGCCGGGCGGCGCTGGGAGGGAGAGGCCGAATTCGGAGATGAAGACGGGGAGTTTGTACGTGGTGTAGGTGTATCGCAGCTGAGTACGAAGGTTGTGCGGCGAGTCGTAGTAGGTTGGTGAGCCATAGGGGGAATAGCCGATCGACCAGTCGCCGTCTGCAGCTGGTACTGTACTGGAAGCGTTGACGCAAATGGGGAAGTTGCGGTAGGGGTTTGTGGTCTTGTTGTAGGACGTTGCGCAGGCGGTGAGGTTGGAAGCGACTGGCTCGACGACAGGGGCGGAGTAGGCGTCGAGGGAGATGAAGTCTACGAATGGACCGTTAGCATGCTTTTGTCATCAGCGAAATCAAGCTTGCTCACCCATTGTGCCGTTCATGTATTCAAGATCAGCTTGCGACAATGGTACATGATCCGGAACGCTGAGCTTGAACGCTTGAGGATAATCTTGTCCGAGTGCAAGTGGTCTCAGCAAAGCTCCGCTGTAGAGATCTGAGAAGTAGTTTGCCGCTTCGACATGAGAGTGATTGCTCGCATCTCGCGGCACAGCTGGAGTGATGCCCATCTTCATCGAGATCTTCCCCTTCCCCTTGAGCGTCTCCTTGTAGTAGTGATACACTCGAGCATGCGCTACGAGGACATTATTCACGGCTACTCCATCACTGCACCCAATCTGCGGCTCATTGTATGTGTTCCAAAGGGGCACCCGATCTCCGTAACGAGCCATGACGATTTGAGCGTAGTTGACGAAGGAGTCTACGAATGTCTCATTCGAATAGCCGAAACTGATCCCTCCAATGCCGTATGTCGATGAGCTTTGCAGAGTAGCCAGGTTGAGAAGGTAGTCGGAGCTGCCGCCGTAGAATTGCAGTGGAGTATCGAAATGTGCGAGGCCAACGTTGGGCTGGATGCCGTGCTCGAGGAGGCAGTTGATCACATCATCGTAGTGATCCAGAGCCTGCGAGTTCACTGGAGTACCAGGCAGTGCGAACGGGAGGATTCGAGTCATGGGAATCGTGAGGTAGAGATTTTTCAGTCCCATGGCCGCCAGTCTTTCGATGTCTTGTTTGTAGAGATAGTAATGCTCGCCGGTGCCATAGTCGCCCACGGGTCCACCACTTCCTGGGGATGCCAGTAGCCCAGAAACGGCCCCAGGTGCAAGACTGAGAATGTTGGCCAGGACATCCTGCAACGACGGTGACTTGCCCTCGTCCGCGACAGCGCCTTCGATCTGGGATGCAGAGCCAGCAGCGCCAAAGATGAAGTCTTTGGGGAACTTGTAGCAGCTTTCTGGCGTGAAGTACAATGGCGGTGGAGGTACTAGCTCCGTTGAAGGGACTGGTGTTGGAGAGACGGTTGTTGAGTAGATTCCTCGTGTGAAGTTGACTGGGTTGGCAGCCTGCCAAAGATTTGTCAAGGCTGCATTGCCATACGGATTGGCCTCATCACTTTGTGAAGGCAGGGGGAAAGCGGGTGTCCAATTTGGCCAGGTGGTTGAAGAGAGATTGTCGAATTGCGAACTGACATCGGAGTAGTGCAGTGCGTATGTGGCTGCTGGAGTTGGTGTTATCTCGTTGGACACGGGTTTGGTTTTTGCAAGTGAAATTTGCGGGTAGGTGAAGTTGGAATAGTCGAAAGTCGGTGTGGAGGAAAGTGTAGCCTCGCAGGAGTGTCCAGAACCATGGGATTGTGGCTGGGTGTGAGCCGTAGCTGCAGCAGCAAAGAGGATGAGACAAAGTCGTTGATACATTGTCGCTGGTCCCGTCTGGCTAGAAGGCGACGCTCGTGGCATGTCGATGTGCTCCTCCTATATTCGCATTGCTGTCGTGTTTCATTATGACACAATGCAGGCGCCGGCCGCCGGTAGCGTGAACATAAATTGGAAAAGAGCCTCGGAGATGTCGCCAGATCGGACGGACTGAGGTGTATTCAGCGAAGGTTTGCTTGGATTGATCTGGGGAGATCGGCGAGTTATGCAAGTATCACCGGCATAGCTTTATCATCTCAGGAGACCTCATGTCGATGCCGGTGGCTGGCGACTTGACGGGATTCTCTGTCCCAGATGGTACAATAGCTGGAGGCGGAACACCAAGCTTTGAGAGACTCGCTATCATTCCATGCTCGTTCACGCAAGAGTACGTCGTAGGCGTTGAAAAGAGGACGGGGGAAAGATTGAAACAAATGGCAACACGAATAACGCATCCTGCACAAGACTCACTCACTTACCTCAACTCACTCTTCTCTCACTCACACTCTCTCGCTCACACTCTCTCTTGGAAGGTGACTAGCACTTGAGGGCCACCGTGCACTTCTCAGTAAGAATTTCCAGTGCACTCGCTGGTTTGTGTTTCGTTCACGAGATGTTGAGCCTCAACATCGAGACCTGGCCAATTTTTGATGGACGTTGGGAACTTTCCAATATAGCGTAGTATCGAGAATGGTTCTAGTAAATGATGGGGCCCGATTGTCTCCTGGTGATTGCGAGAAAGACTGCACTGCACACGAGTTATTTCTTAATCGAGACGGGGATTAAGGAACGGAGGAGGGCACTCTGATCCAAATAACATAGACGGATGATGCTACTTGACAGTATGCTAATGCCCTTGTCAATAGCTTTGCTTCTTAATCCACATGGCAATAAGCTGCTCATCTGTAGGGTAAGGCATCGTCACAGATTTGTTCGTCGTGCGCGTACTCTTCACGAAGGCTCCGGTTGTCCAGTAAGTCTTTGTAGTCCCAAACGCCCTCTCCAATCTTTAAAAGCTCCTCTGCAAGCTGTACTAGGCTTGATATGGCGGACTTGAAAAATAGTCGTCTCCTGCCTTTCGCCCTCTTTAGACTGTTCTTCTGCTCTTGGGTTCTGCTATTAGATATGTCGCTATTAGATATGTCGCTATTCGATATGTCGCTTCATGACCTATCCACGCTGAACAGCAGATCCCACACTAGCAGCTATTATCAACAAAGTGACCAGCTTCTCTGGAACCCTCACTGAGCGAGGCTGCGATCCGTGATCGCGGCGCACGAGCAGCGTGACTGGCCACTCTGAGCTGCTGCCGAACAATTCTTCCTTCTGGGCCTCTTTGGCGCTTGATGGTAGAGTGGGCTGAGGCTTCCAGTATTCCGTGTTGCGATAGATGTCGGGGTCGCCGGTGTCGCTCGGGCCGTCTGGGAGGACGGAGCGCGCGAGGCCACTCCAGAAGGTCTCGTAGTACCCACGTACTTTGATGTACTTCTGTACGTTGTCTGGGTTGAGTTCAGGATCGGCGTTGTAGTCGGCAATGCTTGAGAGCTCAGGGCGTTCAAGGAAGGCAACGTATCCGCGCACATCCCAAAGGGTGTCCACAATGGGGGCCGGTGACGATCCAGCGATATGGGGCATTGAATCGAAGGAGAAGTTGACCGCGCTTGATGAACTCGCAGACTCGAATGGTGTGGCCTTCGTCGCAGTAGACGCTCTCGAACATTCTATCAACCGCTTGCTCGGTAATGTTCTCATCCCTGCTGGCTTGGATGATATTATTGTATGATGCGACGATGATGTGGGTGGATGCGAAGTGCTCTCCCCGAATCGATTTGAAGGCGATGTTGTCTCTCTTGAACTCCACCTTCGTCGTCTGAATAGTGTCTTGAAGACACTTCTGCTTCCGCTTGCCATAGCAGAACACCACCGAATCTCATCCAAACAGGTTATGCAGCCTCGTATACGTGTCTTCTTTGTTTGTTGTGATGACGAAAATGGGCTGATCTGGTGAGCGATGCTCTTCTGGGATGGTGTACATCTGGACAAAAGGGCGGGACAAGATGTGTGCCACGATCTCTGCGGTCTTGCAGACGCCAGGTTCGTCGGCGATGAGGCCACCGCCAATGTTGTCATCTTGGTCCAGCATGAACATGACTCCGCCTTGTTGGCTAGGGCTCAGTTTCATGCCATCTGTTCCTTCTCGCGTTCGTGGCAGCTGCTTGTCGATGTTATCCACGGTGTTGTTAACGGAAAGCTTCTTACGAAGCCGTAGGAAGAAGAGACGCTCCTTACGATACTAGTCTAGGACGTCTTCTATAAGAGTTAGAGACAAAATCGACTACCTCTCTCTCGACCTTATTAGACTACTTCTTCTCTATCTATTATTCTATAACTAACTTATAGTAAGTAATTTAAAGTAGCTAATAGGAAAAGATCTATATAAAGTACTAATATAGTAAGTTATTTAAACGAGAAATAGTAAGTTATTTAATCTTTCTATATATTATTTCTTTTAAGAAAAAGATATATTATTTACTTTATAAATCTATTAATATACTCTATTTTTAATATAGCTAGAAAATATAGTTTTTAATCTATTTTAGTTATTATAAGAAATTAACTTTATAAAGGCGGGCGCGGCGAACCCGCATCCGGAAACGGGCGCAGCGCGTGTGCCCCGTTTGGGTTTGGCGTGTACCCCCACGCCTTGCTATAAGACCTCACCTCTTCCCTCCTCTCGCCCATTTTGCTCCCATTTCTCTTCCCTCCACTCCGCGCGCCCCCGTCGCCCCTAGCGAACCGTCGTTGCTACGCCGCTGCGGCCTCGCATTATCTCCTCGCGCGCCCCGAGCCCCTCGCCTAGCCGATGCCTCCCTGTCGCCGCACGAACGCACGTACGCACGTACGCTCGCCCGCCTGTGCCGCGTCCCTACCTCTTCGCCCTTGCGTCCTCGCGCCCTCGCTCCCTCGCTCCCTCGCTCACGACCGCGCCGTGCGATTACCCGCTCCCTGAACCCTTGGGAAAGACTTTGGGCCTTGCTATGAAGCAGCTGCGCGCGCTCGCCGAGATGTGGCACACCCTGGTCGACTAGCACATCGCTTGAGATCCTCGATGCACCCTGCACGTCCAGTCCTATAAGCTCTATACGCGGATCGAGGCGGCTCTCCGTAGAAACGGCTAGCGCTCGATCGACACCTGTGGGCTTGTGCGGCCTGGACGGGGGCGGTGTCTGCCCGTGAAACTTATCTTGGGTGCTAACAGGGCTGTTTACAGACGCTACGCTAACGTGGTCCGATTACGGCAAATGTACGTACTCGGCGAGCCGCTAATTAGCGCGGCTTTTACGCTCTCGGGGCATGTCACGGTACACTTTAGGACACTAACATTGCCCGATGCGGCCGCAGGAGGACGTAGCGCGCGTCCCGCGACGTGTCAGCCCCCCGGCTAATAATATTTGGCTAGTAAATCGTAGGGCGGCCTCTCACCGTTTCGCGGGATGGATTCACGGTATCCTTTCGCTCCTATCACCGGTGCTATAAGCCCTAGACTGCTGTCTACATTTCCGAGGGGTTACATTCGCGTACAGGACCGAGCTCGAGGCGATAGAACATCACGAACTACACTCCTGTTCGCCTACATACGAAATAAGCGAATGGACTATTTAGTATATGCGCCGAGGGTGCACAGATATATTAGGATACACTACATAGACGACAAGTAGCTTAGAGCGCCCCCGGGGCGTGCGCGCTAGGGCGCTGTAGCGCTACACACCCCTGTTTAGTGCGGTTGTGCCGTGTATAGGCTATACTCTAGAGCTAATTCGGCTACGAAGCGAAGGTATTACGAGACTAATACTGTATACGAGAGGATCTATGTCTCCGCTACGCTAGCGATATCTTAGCCGTAGGGAGTATAGCTAGGATTGCGGCGAGTAGTATTCTCGAACATTTCTACTAGATCTCGCTACTCCCTCGTTCCGTCTACTCCTACTATACATGTCTATCGATCTAGCTTGCCGTCTACGCCTAATAGTATAACGATAAAAGAGATAGCGACTCCGATCCTTCCTAAAGCGCCTATACGACTCGATAATATTATTATCTATAAAGGACCGCCGGTCTCGAGAAAGAAGTCCCTACCGATAGTATCGACGCTTATAGAAGAGTCCGCCTCTAAACGCGTAGAATCGCTCGAAGCTACGTAGCCTACTTTAGCCGTCTAGAGCGGTACGATAGTAAACTTAAACAAGTATATAAGTCTTACGGTCTCGAAAGACGCTCGAGATATAAGACTAACTAGGCCGTTCTATAGGTAAGCCCGAGGAACTAAGGTCTCCGCCGGTTAGTTATAATATATATAAAGGCCGCTACGATAATACCCTAGATATTTTACGAACCTCGTAGAGTAACTATCGGTAGTAGTTACTCGACTCGTTCGAGCTACTCGAGTTCTTTAGCCTCGGTAACGTCGGGGACAACTATCGTTACTCGTCTAAGCTTAAGCTGTAGAGTAGTAGTACCGTTCTAATCCCGGACCTTGTACCTACGGTAGACCTACTAGTAATCGATATTAACGCTACTTCTAGTTTGCCGTAGTACGCCCTATCGGATTCTAAGGAATCTTATACCGTTTAAGCGGGCCCCGAGTTACTAGTACTAATAGAAAATTTATCGATTAACGCTACGCTAGAAATGCCCGCGACGTACTTACGAGAAGTGTCCGAGATTTAAAAGTTAGCGATAGGCGATATTACGTTAGATAACCGAACGAATCTTACGGATAATAGCGAGTCCGTTACGAATAAGAGCCTTAATAGACGCGTCGTAGTATTAGAGCTATTAGCGCTTAATATTTTAGTACTATCGGCAGCGTCGTAAGAAGAGCTATATCCGACTCTAGAGGCTAGAATAGGCTTCGAAGCGTCGTAAGGACTACCGCCTAGTAATACCTATACCCGGTAAGTAGAGGTCCTTACGTAGACGCTACCGAACGAGAACTAACTAACGCTACCTAGCTAAAGTATTAACTATAGCGACTATATCTCTCCGGAAGTTAAGGGCGAAACGAGCTCCTCCGTAGAACGTATTTATACGGACGACGAATCGTATAAGTAGTAGCTTAAGTAGTAGAACTCTTTATCTAGTACGAGCTAATCTAGGTTATCGAGTACGTAGCGGCTAGCGGATTTAGGTAGTAACGATAACGAGAGTATACCGTTTGTACTAGGGAGACGCCGGGGCTATCTTTTAGCACACTTTCGATTATACTAGTAGCGTAACGAGGCGGAACAAGAATCCGATATTATAAGCTCGGAAGACTGTAGTATAATAGGAGCCTCTCTAGAGTAGCGACCTAGGTATAGGCGAAAGCGAGCGTATATCGAGTCGTTACCCCCTAATAAAGACGATACTACCGGTATTAGTACTAAAGTTGTACGCGAGGTAAGACGTTTAATCGCTGTACCTAGATAGTACTAACACGTATCTCGTAGGAGGAGTTACGACCGTAGACGAGAGCGACTAGATATCGTAAAGCTCGTAAATATCGTAGCGATAGCGACTACTACTCGCCGATAAGTGAAATAACGGTATATAAGCCGCCTAAACTATATCGGCGACGAGGCTTCCGAAACTACGCTATCGACCGCCGACTACTAGAGACCGATAGCGTATCCGTAATATTAGAAGTGTAAGAGTAGCCGACGTAGGCGATCGACCGTATTATTAAAAGCGCTCGTAGGAATAGCGAAGTCTTCTATAGAGTTAAATAGAAAGATACCTAGGAGCCTACTATTAGTCTTCGAGGTTATACGGATACGGCCGTCGTAGAGTTTTATACGAAACCCCGTAGTTAATAGCTTTTATAATAAGTAAGCGTAGTTAATAAAACGGATTTAGACCCCTCCGAAGTTCGAAATGTTTTAACTATTACTACGGACGCTAGGAATACCGCTCGCTCGCGCGATGTCTTAAGTTCTGTGTCGGGTAACCTCTTTTACTATCTACGTCCGGTAAGAAGATAGCTAGAGTCTCGTTATTAGAAGACTATATACCCTCGCTCGCTATAGCTGTACTTACTAACTATTCCCCTAGTCGGTTAGCCTCTTAGAGACCTCCGACCGTAGCTTTATTAGGACTATTAGATACTAGTAGAAGTCGGTAGTCGAGAACAGCTAAAGGATCGGTGCCTTTTCGATATCTAAACTAGTCGGGATCGATACTACGATCGTCGTAGATCTTCTTCGTATCTTTAACGATCGTCTATTACCGCGCGAGATCGCCGATAAGATGTTTATAAGTAACCCTATACCGCGACTTAAAGACTAAATCGGAAGTGCTAGGCTCCCTTTCCTAGTCTCTCCGAAAGTCGCGCTATACCCGCTTATCGTCGTACGCTTCTTCTAACGCGGAGATTCTTTCCCTAAGGAGCCTCTAATCTCCGAAGGTATCGAAGTAGGCTTGGACTTCTTTAGGGATCTACTCGGACTTATTAGACGGAGTAGATATTTCTCTAGGAGACAAATCCCGTATACGTTCTAACAGCGGGCTAGCGGCTAGTAGTATAGCTAAGTATTCGTACAAACTCGCTAATATATTTTCTTCGATAGCTATAAGCTTATACTATATCGTACTCCCCCGGGTATCGATATCGATTAGGGTCTGCTTTTATTACTATATCGACGTAATATCTTCGGTTAGCTGCTTTTTAAGGTCTTCGAAAGACTACTAGCCTAACCCTTGTCCCCCCCTCTAGGTAAGAAGTCGTCCGGCTATCTCTAAAATCGATTCCTAAGTAAATCTTTACGTATACGAATACGTTTCTATTACTACGCTCCTTTCTAAATTTGTAAGCTAAATCTTCTTACGACGCCGAAGAGTCTTCGTACATAGACGCTAGAAGCGCTCGAGTAGCCCTTTAGGTCCGTTACTTCCGCTATCTAGTCTGTAAGCTTTAGTAGTATTAAATTAGTAAGATATCTCGGTCGGTAGACACGTTAGACTAACGTGCGATTAGCGTATCGACGTAGAGACGATAGTAATATAATAATACTTACCTTTAACGATACTTCCTCAGTTTTTCAACTAGCCGTATAAACTTTAACTAGAGGCCGCGCGGAAAGGTTACTAAGCTAAGGAAAGGAACTTCGAGGCGGCTAAAAAGACCTTCGTAGCCGAGGTATCTATATATATCCTATAGGCTATAGATAGGTCGTTTATAGGCACCGCTACGACTCGAGGTCTTTCGCTCGCGAAGTAGACTACGACGTACTACCGGTATCGAAAGGAGACGTATAGGGAACATTTAGAAACCGCTACTCTTATACCTCGTAGCGTCTACTTAGGGGACTACATATCCCTACTCGCTTTAGTACTACCCTCCGTTAGCCTTTAGGATATCTAATTCTACTACTTTATACTTATAGTAGCCTAGTTCACTTTGTACTCGAACCTCTATAGCGTCGTACTAAGCCGGCGCTCTCCGCGGGTGTCGAGCGGATCGCTTAAGCTATTATAGCCGATTAGAAACGATGTACTAGTTATATAGCGGCCTATGAAAACGAGTACTACCGTTAGAGACAGTGAACATCTCTACTAAAGCCGCGCTATACTTAAATAGGCTATATAGCGTAACGCGGCTTAGAACGGTTACGCCGCTTACTACCTACTATAAGCTTGAACCCGTAGTAGACTTTTTAGCTACAGGATACTAAGTGCTAATTCGAAGACCTGTAGACTAGTAGTATAAAGAGTTAAATAATATATTATCTCCGATAGAGAAAGTTCCTATATCGTTCGAGGCGATATCGATTTTAGTAAGAATAGAATAAGTAATCTTCGGACGTAACGTATAGAGATAGGAATACTTATAGCTTAGAGTGCGATACTATTACCGAATCCTAATAGTTACGTATCTATAACTCCTAATAAAGGCCGCGAACCTAGCCCGGGTGTAAAGCGAGAATATAGTAACACGCGATTAGAAAGCTTTACCGTTTCTGTAGTAAGACCTTTTAGCTAAACAGTTCCCCTTAGTGTATAAGTTAGCCGCCCTTCTCTAGGGTTTCGCACTTAGCGCTTCCTATATAACGGTTTACTAAGGCTGAAAAGTTAATACTTCTTTATTATAAATCTAAAGGTTAAAGCTAACGCGCTTAAAGTCTCGACTGTACTACGTTATATACGATATCGAACCGTAACCTCCTTAGTATACCGCTAAATATTCTAATAAGTAACCCTAACGAGGTACTACGACAAGCCCGCGAAACACGAGGTATCTTAGCGGTTAAGTTATATCGAAGCTACTCTATAAGAGAGCTAGAGACATATAAAGATAAGACTTTACGTCTTTAGAGGACTAGATATAGCAATGTACTCGAATTCGAAACTTCTAGCGAGTATAGCGTCTACATCTTCGTTAGTAACTAAGCCGCCGTATATTTAAGGATCGACTTCGGTATACCGTACCTACAAATAATAGCGTAGGCTAGCTAAGCCGTAGGGGATAACTACTTTAGGGTTGTAGAAGGCTCCTTAGGCCGATAATAGTAAATCGTGTAGGGGTAGGCGGAAAGGTATCTATAACTTTAGTAGATATATACTATATATAAATATCTAGGATTCCGATAGAGTATAGGCTTCCTACACCCTTACTAGTTAGGGTAATCGTACAGAAATTAAGAACGAAGATATCGAGTGTAGGGACAGTAGATACATATATACTCTACTTTGCCGTAGTTAGCTAGTATTTAGCCTGTCGAGCTACGAGGTTATAAATAAAGGGTACTTTATACCTTACGTTATATTTACTAGTATAATACCTAGATTCGCTCCCTAGTTATAATCGTCCCGAAAAGCTTACGCTAGATTAAAAGTTCTACCGCGGTATACTTAGTAGGATCGGGGTATACGCTAGCTGCCTCGGGGAGATAGTAGGTAATAGGGGTAAGGATAGAGGTGCAGAACGTCGGCGGGGTCCTAAAAGCGGCGTCTTAACATATTAGGTAGATTTCTGGATAGAAGTAACTATATTTCGTCTATTAAATAAGAGCGGCGAAGTATATATTGTACTGTGTTTACGATCTTAACTCGACGTTACCGGAGGTAGATACCCGTCGCTTTATATAAACGAGACAAAGAAGCCGACTAGGTTAAAGAATAACAGCTATTAATCTAAACCTTGTATAGTACAGTACCGCGAAAGCTACGAAGTATAAAGTCTAACTACCGTACCTACTATTAAGTTCGCTATAATTAACGAGACCCCTCGGTTAGAGTATAGATACTTAATCGATTACTGCAAAACTATTAATAAGTGTCTACTACATCCCGATAACGGCGAAAATCGGCCCTAAGCTCGTAGATACGGCCCTAGTGTAGCTTTAGAAGCGGACTTACGAAGATAGCGTAGAGCTAGTAATATTCTTCACCCTAGAACCCGGACTAGTATAGGACGTAATAGACGTATTCTAAAAGGTATTTTGTGTAGCGAAATTGTAAATAAATTTATACTTATATCTACCGCTAGGCCGTAAAGAGCAGCGATAGGATCACCGTTAAGTTTAATAACAACCCGGTAAGGTTTCGTTCTAGCGAGATAAGTATACTTAGGTCTAAGGACGGGGTTCAGCGTAGATTACTATACCTCTCTAGCTGTAACCTCCCTTGCCGCTAGAGAGGCGAAAGCGGGCGTAGTTACCGATAGAGGACCGATAAGCGTATAGTATAGGAAACGAAGGAGGGGGATTTTAGACTTTTATTTATCTATAAGAATAGGGACGAACGACAGTAAAGAATTAATACCGTTTAGATAGCGAACGGATCGTTAAAATAGTCCTACTTAAACAAGTTTATAGTATCCTAATTTTGCTCGCTCTACTAGAACCTAAATATATTATCGAGCTAGAACTGTAGAGCTTAAGTTATAATATTACGGTTATCGTTAGGAGCGTAGACAAATCCCTAAGAAGGGCCTAGATTTAGCCTACTTACCTTACTATTACCGATACGTAGTATAGGAGATAGGCTAGTCTCCTAAGTAGTATTAGCCGATACTAGTTAGGGCTCTAAGACTGTCGTCGCGGCTTCTAGGAGTGCTACTATACCGGTTTGTTTATCCCTTAGCGGAGCCTAAAGCGTATAACTAAGGGTAGTATTACTCGAGAGTAGCTCTTCCTTATTACCCCCAAGTCGCGCGTACTCGGCACAAATTAGGTCCCTAGCTACCTCGAACTAACGTGCGGCCTACTCGAAGAACTCCGGGACTTCTAGAGTTTAAATATCTTCTGTACTAAGTAGTCGTCGTTCCTATCTAGTACAATTAGACCGTAGGATAAGTCGGGACACCGTATACTTATAGAGTAGCCGAGGGCTTATAATTAAAGATTATAGTAGGACCGGCTCTCTTTAGAACTAGCTCGTACTTTAACCTATATTACTATAATCGCGAAACCTCCTTAGGTAGGATTGTAGTAATCTCTACAAATTGTCGCTTAGTAGTAGTATTCTTATTCGAGCTGTTAAGCGTGTGTCCCTAGAACTTAATCTAATACCTAAGTAGTAGTAGGTGTATTCGTCGATCTCGGCTTGTGTATAGGGCGCGCTTTTTATCTCGTGTAATCGCGTAAACGAGGTTTCGGCCTAGATCGCGTTTTAAAGATACAGTATACGAGGTTTCTTAGATCTAAATACTACGAACGAGGTCTTCCTCTTTCGCGCTCTTAAGGTATTTCGTAACAGACAATAAATGTTTTTTAGCCTTTTACTAATTGTCCCTTCGACCGTTAGCCGTACGGACGGTACACTCTTAGACACAGTCGCGTATAAACTTAAACAGGTCTAGTAGGTCTACGTAGGTAGAAAGAATATATTACCGTAACTCGTTACGTCGTTCCTACCTCTAGTAAGTGTCGTATCGTGTATTTGAATATTTGCTTACCTAGGTATCTTCGGGTTAACTAAGAACAGAACTAGAGACCTCAAATTCGTTATTATATATGTCTATAGCGAGTAGGAAAGCTAGGCGTAGGAATAAGAAAGAGAAGGTGTCTTAGTAGGAGATATTAAGATTTGTACAGCGTATATAAATCTTAACCTCTACTCTACGGCTCGGCTAGCTAGTTTCCGCCCTTCCCCGCCCGAGAAAGCTTATCCCCTCCGCTATAGCTTACTACTTAGTAGCCGATGTCCGATCTTCGAGAATTGTCCCTATATATATTAAGGATATCTAATAAGTGTAAAGAGAGTTTATACCTTACCCTATATAAGTACGGAGCCGAGTTAAGGCTTGTACTATATACCGCTGTACTATAGAGATAGGTAGTAGTAGGGAGATTTCGCTTACGTAGAGGATTCGTTAATATAATACACTATCGACGGCATGTTACAGTATTAAGCTAACCGCTCTCTAGCCGTAATATAACGCGATCCGAGGATAACATTTTTACCCCTAAATATTCAAACTAACGAGTAGGAAACGGAGGTTAATACAATTCTTGTCCTCGAGACAGATAACGAATTCGGTGAAGCTAAGGTATAGATTCGATTAAACGGTCCGGGATATAGTATTAACCTATATTTATAATATCCGGACTACGATAGTATCGATACTAGAATACAAGTTAACCGTAGTCTAAGACTATCGTACGTAGACTTAGTAGAATATATCGATACTACGTATACCCGCTTCGTAGATATATACGCTTCGCTACGCTAGCAGTGTCTAGATAGGTAGACCTTAAGTAGGCGTAAAGAAGATAGCCGGCGAACGGGAACTCGCTCTTAGGCGTAAGTATTCTATAATACTTTAGTCGTAATTACTAAAGGTAAGTAGGTATTATATAATCGCACACCTTACTACAAGCTAAGGGTTTAACCTAAGGGCTCTAGGCTAAGTAAATCTTCTTAGGCCCCTCTAGATTACTCTGTCTACTTATAATCCTAACTGGAGTATATATAATAGCCTCTAGCTAGCTCCTATTAAATAGGACAAGTTACGGAGATAGCGTGAGGAGCGGCTATATACGGAGTAGCGGTAAGAACGGATTACGTGTAAGGAACTAGAAGGATTAGAGATTAGAGGCGTTAATTAATATAGCGAGTTAGGGCTACAGGTCCGTTAAGTCGAGCGATAGATAATATGTAGATCGGGATACTAAATCTTCATATTAGACAGCTATAAATTACGTATATCTCCTTTGTAGGTCGGGTTCGTTACGCCGTCGTATCTATCTCCTACCGAATCTAAAGCTATTCCCCTAGCTATAGTAGCCTATATCTATAAAGAATTAGCGAGAGTAATAAAGGTTCGGATTCGGGTCTAAGCTTTAGCTCGGTACGTGCTAAATTCTCCGACGGCACGGCCTTCTCGTAGAACGTTAGTGTACTAACACCGTAAATCCTACCTAATATATTATTAAGCGCAGTGCGCGTTTTATACGTGTACATAGAGGCTCAGATTAGTAAAGAGCTAGCGATACGTGCGGAACAGTAACTACGAGACTAACCCTACGAAAAGACCGAAGCGGCCGCGGTGCTATTAAGGAAAGAGCCTAAACCTATATAAGAGGCGATAGATATATTCGCACAGGTAGAGAAAACCTATATCTATAGGTAGATTACGGCTAAAGCGAAGGTAGGTAGTATAATAGAAGGACGGGATTAGTATTAAGTTCGAACGACCGCTTAAGTTTTAGGCTAGTAAAATACGGATTAACGAGTCGAGCGACGGCTTGAACCGCGGGCTCTTTTGTCTTTTAGATAATTGTATCCTACCTAGTAGTAAAGTAGGCGAGCGCGGACATAGCTATATATAGAGTACGACTAGGCGCATAGTGTGGAAAATACACGAAGGTAGTATTAGCTTAAGTTTCTTATATTCCGCCTCCGCTAGCGTAACCGAATAAGAAAGGGTTAGTTATAAGACACTAGTATCGAGGCTTATAACTTAGTCTAAGGGAACCTACTTTGTACCCGATATAGTATTACTATTAGGTTACACTTTTTAGCGAGTAGATTAGACTATAAGCTAGCCGCTATGTTATTAGGTGTCGCTTTACTTTCGGAGTAGTTAGTCCTACGTTCACGAGTTATTCCCGCCTAAGAATAATGCCCCTACGTATTAAATCTAGTACTATCTCTCTAGTGTATTAGATGTTACGCGTACTTTAACCCTATAGACGTGTAACTTCCTAATCTAAATTTCGTACTAGCTAGTTCCTTTCGAAATAATTCGCTCTACTTAGTACTTACCGAGGGGTCGTTATATAGTCCTCGAATCTTGTTCCTTTATCGCGAGGCCCTAGGAAGAGCTTATTCGCTAGGTGTCTTTTCGATTCGATAAGTCTATTAGTTCCGTATACTAATCTCGCTTAGTAGACTACGCCGCAGATTAGCATTACGCACTATTAAGCGCTATAGAGGTATTATAGGAATAGTTGTAGTATTATAGTCTTCGCTCTTATAACCTTAAGTATGTTCGATTAGGGGCCTATATAAAATAATAGGTAGGACGTATTTTAGCGCCGTCCTATTATGTTATATTAAACTACATTCTGCATATATAACTTTACTTCGAATTATTCCCTAGATTTGCCTTTAGGTACTTGTACTTATAGACTTCTCTATTCGATATACCTACCGCTAGAAATGTTAGAGGCTTACTACGGATAGTATATAGACGGAAACACTTTATATCGCCTAGGATAACATCTAGTCTCTCGTAGTATTAGTATATCTCTCTAAGCCCCTTTATGTTTAATCTAACTACCTAGATCCCTTCGATTGTTTATACTATTATTTAGTCGTACGCGGTATTAGCCTAGCCCTCTAACTCTGCCGTAAGTAGGAATTTCGTCTTTACGTGCAGCGCTAATAGAGTAACAGCTTCTATTCGCAAGTCGAATTCTCCTACAAAGTGCCGTTTTATACACCTAGCTCTCGTAGGCTTTACTCTACAATCGGTTCGGTTAGGAAGGTAAACTGTTCTTACGTTCTATCTTTACCGCGAATACTACCCTCGGGATACTTTTAATCGTCGCCGTAGCTTTGTTACTAATTACTAAGGTTATTAAGTATATAAAAAGGCAGGCAGAACATCCGCTAAACTATCTCAGGTCGAAAATATATACGCTAATATTCTAATCGTAGCTGTATCTTATAACGAGTCTTCGTCTACGTTAATTCTGTTATACCTTACGTAAAGAGCCGTACGAAACCTACGAGGTAGCAGGCGTTAGAAATTGCTTATTCTATAGTCTATTCGTCCTCTGTACGGCTTTTCTAATTAAATTCACTCGACTTGAACTTACGTAGATAGGGGTTTAGCGATAACTATTTCGCTCGGGGGGCTCTATCGGCGTACTATCTAGCTATAATAGGCTCTACAAATCTTTCTTTATTAGCAGATTTTCCTGTTTGTATATTTATTTATTACCCGCGGCCTCGGCTATACTTCGGTAATCGTGTAATTAATCGAAGAAAGACGACGTATCGTAGCTAAGCGATTAGTCCGGACTACAAGTACGACATTCTACGTAACGGACACTATATCTATCGATTTCATACTCTAGCCTATCGCTATTTCCTCCGCAAACGATACGACACTACTAACCTAGAGAGCTAGTATTATATATACGGAGTTAACGGGTATTATAGACGACTAGGAAGCGATCGCTTAAAGTAGGAGTTAGTTTGACCGCGCTTTGCTTAATAAAGTATGCTGTTTGTAAAAATACTTGTAATAATAAGAGTATATAAAGGGCGATAATACTAGTAGTTAAGGGATAATTCTTTTTCTAGACACTAATATAGCCCTATCGCGTCTTCCTACTAGAAGCCCTTTCCTATATTTCTAAAACAGCTCTTAGAATATTATAGGGCAATTACTATTAGGACGTTATCTATTTGCCCGACTACGGATCGAATACAAAATTATACTATTAACTAGTATAGAACACTAGAAAGTAATCTTCTAGGCTTTTAATAGAGCAAGTCTTAAGTGCAAGGATTAAGCCTAAAGATATTCACGTGTCTCTATCTAGATAATAGTAATAACGGACTTTTGAAGACGAAAGAACGACCTTAATATCGTAGATAATATGCTGTATACGTAGTAGCTTAGAATCTAAAACATTGAAACATCTTTTATAAAAGACTAGTTACTAGACTAACTTCACCCTAGTAGAAAATATATCCTCTAACCGTACAAAGGCATTTTGTCTAGCTATCGAGGTATTAATAGGTTAGCGCTACGACGTTTCAAGAGTAGTCTCCTAATACAGCTAACGGGAACGCGACCTCCTTACGCGGGACAGTTAAAGCGTTTAGACAAGATACGAAAAGCAACTTAACTGTAGACTATCGTTTCAAGAATTAGTACTAAGAAGTAGCGTATAAATAAAGTACTTAAAGTGCGTCCGAAGTGTAACGCTATTAAAAATTCTACGTACTACCCCTTCCTAGTCTTTAACCGTCGAAAGCTGAAAAAACCGTTATATTAAGATAACGAGACGGACACACTTCGAGCGTCGCTACTAACGAAGTACGATAGAAACGGCTGTTTCAAACTTTCAAGCGTTACTATACGCCTACTAACAGATATATAGGGAAATTATGCTTCTGTTTCGATACTACAACCCCGCCTAAGGTCTACGTAGTAGATAGACTAGTCGATATTCGTTAAGGAGCTAAGCTCTTAATACCTTGCGTAGATATATATACCTACCCGAGTTAGAAAAACGACGGTTTATATTAACGTAACATCGTAGTAACGGACGGAGGAACTAGCGTCGTTACTATCAAAATTGTTATTATAGGAGCTATATAGATTTTTGCGAGGGATAGATATCGTCCTCGACACGTAGTTTAGGTAGTTAGATTAGGGCAGGAACTTACGAATTACAAGCGTGTTATTATTTCGCATAGTATTATACTAATTACGGAAGCTATAAGAAGCGCTAAAAGGGTGAATTTTTAGCTAAAGGGCGAGAATTAATAGCTCTATAAACTGTAGCGTCTATGAAACGGTCTTAATAGGCGGTCGAAAGCCGTAATATAGCACCTACAGGGATAGACCTGCTCTAGCACTTATCTAGACATATTAAGATCTAGTAATTTAGCTCTAATTGCTAAGACCATTATTATTATATTAGCTAAGATACTCTATCCTATTAAGGCAGGCTTAAGTACTATACAGCCTGCCGTCCGCTTAGAAGTAGCCTACTATATAAGTAATCCTTTAAGAATTGCTACTGCCTAACTAAGACTGTAGCTAGATTGACGTATAAGAACATACGATTAGAAAACATCTAAGGGAAAGTTAGAGTCTTTTTCCGCGTAGGGTCTCGGCTACTTCGGTGTTAGTAACGTAACTACTACTGTTTAGCTACTATTTCGTTATAGCTAGAGGGCTAGTACTTACGAGAATTTTGCGCTCCCTCTAGGTAGGAACGCGGGGCGTTACCTTAACTATTTTACCGTATAAGATGCTTTAGCTTAACATAATTTACTTTCTGCCGAGAGTACTCCGGCTGCTTGTAGGCGGAAGGTAGTAATAAGGACGACTAGTCCGCCCCGGTACTTCCTCCGTAGCTTATCTTCGCCGTAATTATAAGGAAGAAGTCGTCGATTAAATAAATGTGTCGACGAAAAGGGTAGATAAGAAAGATAGGGCAAGACGAAGCAGTTAATATAAGCGTAACGCCGGGATTACTAGCGGGGCGGCCCGTTACCGTAGTCGTTTTTCCTACGTTGTCCTTGTCCTATATTTAGCTAACTAACCGAGCACCGCACGCGCTTAAAGTGCTTCCTTCCGAGATACTTATAGTATATACTCTCTAGCTTGTAGACTTGCAAATAATCGCCTAATTACTAGCTTAAGTACACCTAGGTCGATAACCCTAAACCCCGATACTCTCCGTCTAATATCTTCTAATCGTATTACTACCTATCGCCGCGCTCGCACCCGTTAAACTTACTCCTACTTTAAGGACTACTAGCCGTAATACTTAGCGTAGGAAGAGTAGGGGCAGTATTATAAAATAGTAGCGATAGAAAGGTTATAGAGGAAGGTTACGTAGGAGGTGAAAAGATATAGAGACGAAGTATAGAACGACGATAAAGTAAGGAAAGAGAAACCGCCGGTAATAGTAGGCCGACGGCCTTAACTACTTATAATATTAGGGAACGACGTACCTATAAGAAGTCTCGTTAAAGATAGGAGGAGTAAAACGGATAGAGGAGCGCGGGCTTCTTTATAACATCCTAAGCTTAAGAACGCCTTTACTATAAAGCACTAAAAGGCAAAAGAGGGAAAGCCGAATCTTCGTTATATATACAGCCCTTCGGAACGCTTAGTATAACCGAAGTCCCGCTCGAAGCCCTCCTCCGCGCTAATTATAGCTTAAAGATAGGAGAAAGATAGTTACTTGCCTTCTATCCGCGCTAATACAGACGCTATCGATAAATAGTTCGTAATCTAAATTCGGACTTTTTAGCGGATCTGTTATATAGCTAGCCTTATATATACTTACCTACCGTCCGTTTATCGGGGATTTTACTAGCTCTCGAAGTTTATTCTTTTATAACGTTAGCCTAGTAGCCTACGCCCTAGCCCTATTAATAACGTTTATCTATATATTACGTCTAGAGCTCTTATCGATATTAGTATAGCGCTACTTCTAATACAGTCTACTTAGAATAGCGCTATTAAAGTTATCGAGTCGATTAGTTATAAGAATAAGAAGGCTACCGAAGAATTCGAGTTCGCGTAAGAATACGGACATAAGTGCGTTACGGGCTACATTTTTAGTAGTTCGCTTTTCTAGGTAGACATCGGCTTCGTCGAGTAAGAGGACTACGTTCTAGTTACGCGCAAGTTAGAACAGCTTTTTAAGGCAGTCTTCTAACTTCTTTAGTTTAGTACTAAGTTCGCCGGTAGACACCTTTAACCGTATAAGTTAGTTCGAGTAAACAATTTTTAACGGGATACGCTCTTACTAGATAGAGCGGCCGCTTAAGGTGTTTAGCTAAGCTCTTAGTAGTTAAAGTCTTACCGACGCCTAGAGGCCTACTATCTTCCCGTTAGCGCTAATTAGTACGAGTAGTTAGGCGGCTTTACTGTAACAGTATATTTAATCCTTAGTCCCGGTATCGCGTAACGCTAAGTAGCTCTAGATTCGTATCGTATACGTAAGCCGATATAAGTACAAGTATAACTTTTTTCGACTTTTTACTAAGGGCGAGATTACTCTAAGCCGACTCGTCCTACTCGATTACTAAGATGCCGCTAACGGCGATTTTAACTGTGCTATATTAGTAGTCGCTCTACGTTATTATAAAAGGACTTACGCTATAACTTATTAGAATAACTGAAACTAAATACAGTTAGGCTATATATAAGCAATTTAGCCTACGTAAGATCCGCGGGAGTAACACCGATGTTTCTAACTCCCTGTACTAGCTAAGACTTATTAACGATTCCCTATATAGCGCGGTCGTCTATTTCCTCTCTAGACGACTTATTAATATCCGGTCCGATATAGGCTAGATTTATCTAGAAAAACGTGTAACTATCGATAGTAATACGGCCGTCTACACGGACAGCTAATAGATCTCCTTTGTATATAAAGAAAGCCGGCCCGTAGTATTTATAATAGTAATAACTAACGAGCTTAGCAAACTTCCGGCCGTATTAGATTAATTACTACACGACTAAATTACGATAAGGGTAGTACCGGAGAGGGAAGGCCTTAAGTAGATATATCTCTTTAGCCCCGCGGAATTTCTCTAGAGGCACTACGACACGAGACTCGCCGAAGACTTTTCTATTAAAGTTCAAGTATCGTCCTTCTACGTAAAAGTATATCTGTCTACTTCTAGCCTATCTCTCCTCGTAAAAAGAGACTTTTATATATCTTAGCGCTTTTGTCCTAATATACGTAGTGTAGATAATATCGTCTAGTTTGAAGAGTGTCTATAGAAGGCTGTATATAACTTTCCCTTTAAGCTTAGCGAGTCTCTAATTAACTATCTAGAACGTACTATATAGATACTCGACTAGGACGTCTACGTAGGCTTTACTAGATTACTTAGTCTGTACCTTTACTAGTGCCTCGAGCTTATTAAGATAGTAGAAGAGGACGGTGCGCTAGATCTTTCGAGATATCAGTATTTATTTAGCTTAAATAGGTAGCACGACTTGTAGAGGGCTCCTTATCTTTTAGAGATATTCCGGTAATATTACTAAGGATAGACTCGAGGGTATCGCGAAGTACCGTAGACTTAATATCGATATAAGCCGTTAGCGCTCCGGTCGTCTTATCTAAAAGGATTATTAGTATACTCTGTTATATTCTACTATATTAGATATATTAACTAAACCGGACGCGGACAATAAATATAAGCGGTACCGAGTTATAGTCTCTAGGAGTGTCGATAGGCTTCTCGTCTACTACTTTGTACTTATACTCGGTTATACTCTATCTAAAGAAGGGCTTAGTATTAATTACCTAGCACTTTGAATTTCGTAGCAACTTACGATTCGTTAACTGTCTTATACTAGCGTTTCGGTAGCGATTCGTCTCTGTCTAGGGGCTGCTTGCCTTATACCGACTATATTACAAATCCTGTCGACTGTACAGGTATAGGGCTTAACTTAGCGGTAATAATCAGTTACTTGAATAGCTTAGTAACCTCCGCGATAGTCGGCGAAGGTAACTCGATAGAAGAAGCTATCTCTACAGGACTAAATAGAGGAGTATCTACGACTAGAGTAGATACTCGATATTGTATAGAACCGCAAAGTTCGAAAATAGTATAGTAATATCTTCGGAGAGCTTAATAATTAAGCGGCAGGTTCTTCGTATATTCTTATATATCGCTACAATTCAAGCCCCGATATAAGAGCGCTGTTACTCTATCCTCTCTGTACATAATACGGCTTCCTAGTTAATAGCGCGTGTGTGCTTTCTAATGTAGCGTAGCTCTATAGCTAATAATTTTAGATTAAAGTAATTGTAGGGAGTGCTTTCTATTATATATAGGTCTAAATCGAGATAGCTTCGATTATAATCTTAGGATTCCTACTCTCTACGGCACGTATCTATACGTAAGGCGCTAAAGTTACGACAAGCCGCGACGAAGAGCTAAAGAGGTACTATAGAGAGCTAGGTACTATAGATATAGAGAGCTAGGTACTATAGAGAGCTAGAGAGCTAGAGAGCTAGAGAGCTAGAGAGCTAGAGAGCTAGAGAGCTAGAGAGTTACAGTACTGTACTATATATAGCGAGCTAGAGAGTCGGAGAGTTAGAGGGCTACTATATAGTGCTAGGGAACTGTAGAGAGCTAAAGAGCTAATACGAAGAGCGATAGAGTCGCTATAGAGCGTACAGACAGACGGGTACGAACTACGTTATTCGAGGGACTTATCGAGTAATAACAAAAGAGCTAGAGGAATA